CCATACTCTCCTAGGTTATGAAACCGAGGCTATGACCACCAAAAGCTATGGAAATCAAAGCAAATGGAGACCAAAGCTCTAATACCACTTGTAGGACCTTGAAGTATTTCTAGAGGGGGGGGGGGGTGATTAGACTACTTGACCAATTAAAAAATTAACCTTTTCCCAATTTTAGAGTTTGGCAGATTTTAGCTATCTTAGGACAAGTCAAGAAATCATCACACAATTCAAGCAAGCATGCAAGAGTATATAGGCAGCGAAAATTAAAGCATGCAACTTGCAAGAAAGTAAAGGGAAGGGTTTGGAGGATTCAAACGCAGTTGGAGACATGGATGTTTTTGGCGTGGTTCCGATAGGTGGTGCTATCGTACATCCACGTTGATGGAGACTTCAACCCACGAAGTCTCAACGGTTGCGCGAGTCCACGGAGGGCTCCACCCAAGAAGGGTCCACGAAGAAGCAACCTTGTCTATCCCACCATGGCCGTCGCCCACAAAGGACTTGCCTCACTAGAAGTAGATCTTCATGAAGTAGGCGATCTCCTTGCCCTTACAAACTCCTTGGTTCAACTCCACAATCTTGTCGGAGGCTCCCAAGAGACACCTAGCCAATCTAGGAGACACCACTCTCCAAGAAGTAACAAATGGTGCGTTGATGATGAACTCCTTGCTCTTGTGCTTCAAATGATAGTCTCCCCAACACTCAACTCTCTCTCATAGGATTTGGATCTGGTGGAAAGAAGATTTGAGTGGAAAGCAACTTGGGGAAGTCTAGAGATCAAGATTCATATGGTAGGAATGGAATATCTTGGCCTCAACACATGAGTAGGTAGTTCTCTCTCAGAAATGGTGAGTTGGAAGTGTAGGTTTCATCTAATGGCTCTCTCTCCGAATGAATAGGAGGTGGAGGGGTATATATAGCCTCCACACAAAATCTAACCGTTACACACAATTTACCAAACTCGGTGGGACCGATTCAACAGACTCGGTTGGACCAATTTAGTAAACCTAGTGACCGTTAGTAATTTTCGGTGGGACTGACATGCAACTCGGTAGGACCGATTCGGTTAGGGTTAGGGCATAACGTAATCTCGGTAAGACAGATTACACAAACTCGGTGAGACCGATTTTGGTAATAAGCTTTCCTGAGAGTTCGTTAGGTAAACTCGGTGGGACCGATTTGCTCTTTTCGGTGAGACCAAAATGTTACAAAAGGGAAACAGAGAGTTTACATTGCAATCTCGGTGGGACCGATTGCTCACTTCGGTTTGACCGAAATGTTACGAAGGGAAACAGAGAGATTACAATCCCATCTCGGTGAGACCGAGATCCCTATCGGTAGAACCGATTTGCCTAGGGTTTGTGGCAGTGGCTATGACATTTGAACTCGGTGGCGCCGGATAGGAAGAATTGGTGTGACCGATTTTGGCTTTGGGTTTAGGTCATTTGTGGATGTGAGAAAGTAGCTGAGGGTTTTGGAGCATATCACTAAGCACATGAAGCAAGAGGCTCATTAAGCAACACCTCATCCCTCCTTGATAGTATTGGCTTTTCCTATAGACTCAATGTGACCTTGGATCACTAAAATAAAAAATGAAGAGTCTTGAGCTAATGAGCTTGAGCCAATCCTTTGTCCTTAGTATTTTGAGGGATCCACTTTCATCATCCATGCCATGCCATTCATTGAGCTTTCCTGAAATATTAGTCTTGGAATAGCATCAGCTCAATGAGCTATATGTTGTTATGAATTACCAAAACCACCTAGGGATAGTTGCACTTTCAGTGGGGATCCATGACGGGGAGTGGTGTGGAGAGGGATGACTGTGGCTATGGCCGGGGCACCAGGGCAATGGTTTATATAGCACCGGTGGGCGGCAGTCGAAGGGACGAGTGGCGTCGGAGGAGACGCCCCGGCAACCGCGTGCCATGAATACGGACGGTAGGGCAGCCGTCGTGTTGTCTGAACATATGGCAGCCGCTTGCACTGGGAAGTGGCGTGGGTGGCGCTCTCTCGACTGGCGCCCTGCTTCAATGCCGGCGCTAGTGAGTGGTCGTGTTCGCTTTGGGCGGCAATGAATGCGGGCGCTGACGTAAAATGTGTGAGAGAGGTGATGGGTTTTGGTCGGCCAGGGCGGTCAGAAATGGGCTTGGGATCGGTCCGTACTCCTGCAAACCTCCCCCACTTTTGTCTCTAGTTTGCAGGAGAAATCGCGTCCGACCTTGTCGCGGACCGACACATTCCCGCGTTAGATGGCTTCCACGATCCGGACATCGCAGTTTGGACCATTGCGGGAGGTTTGCGGGTCGGCGTTGGAGATGCCCTAACAATACTTATGCAAGACTACACGTTTACTTAAGAAAAAAACAAGATGGGCTAGTTTGGCAGCAAAGTATTTTCTAAACTGTGGTAATTGAAAACCACAATATTACTCTGGGTGGGCAAAGAATACTACGGTTTTCTAAAACCAATGTTTTTCTCAGTTTTACATGTGTTTGGTTGCTGTTATTTAACAAAGTTTTGACTAAGTATTTTAGCATGGGTGACTGAGTAGTTAGCGCTGCTAACGGCTGCCGGCTGCATGCAGCTGCCATGCACACATAATACCATTCTAGGATCAGTCAGCTAGATTGAAGAAATGCCATCCTAGGAGTAGTCAACTGGATTGAAGTAATACAATCCTAGGAGCGTGTTGCCATTATATGTCTATATACTTGCATGTACTTATCGAAAAAGGCTTTCTCCCCGCTTTATATATAAAGCAAAGATCCATAGTGTCCGGTACAACTGCACTTACCCACCACAAACACACACACATCCAAGACAGGATACATAGGCGCTGATGAAGCCATGTACCTAGGGTAGGGTCATGGACCTATCCAAGATACCCTCCCCAAGGACATCTCTAGAAGAAACTACCTTTCAGTCGACCTGGAAGGATTCCACTCCACAGACTCGAAGACACTCGACCATGAAGCCACTCACTCGACCGCCAGGAGATCTAGAGTCACTCTGCACACAAACGGTCTGTTATTAAGTAGTCTTTATGGTCATGATAGCACTTTATGTAGGGCGTTACCAGTAACGCCAGGCCTTAATGTACTTTAAACCCCGCATAACTGAGGGCCGGAGGGGTCTGGCAGATTCTATATAAGCCACCCCCTCCTCAGTGTAAAGGGTTTGCACCCCTGTAACTCATACGCATATAATCCAGTCGACCGCCTCCGGGCTCCGAGACATAGGGCTGTTACTTCCTCCGAGAGGGGCCTGAACTCGTAAATCCCTTGCGTATACAACTACTCCATAGCTAGGATCTTGCCTCTCCATACCTACCCCCCCTTCTACTGTCAGACTTAGAACCACGACAGGCGCTGAACGCAGCAACACACACCCTAGCACTACAAGAGCCGTCGGGGGCATCATCCGAAGAAGTGAAGCCGCATATGACGAAACGTGGGCTCCAAGATGGTGCCTTCAGAAAGGATACGCCACCGGAGCGTCGCCACCGCCCGATCCGAGGATCAGAGTTTCCCCTGGAGCACCACGACCGACAGTGATAGCCGCGACGACGCCTTCAAGAAGGGAGCGATCTTCGCCGTCGCCAGTCCGTCCGAAGATAGAGTAGGTTTTCACCCCGGCCAACATTCACCGCTACCGAACGCCACACCCCGGCTACCACGCCGCCCACACGGCCGTGGCAGCCGGGCAGCACCGAGGCACGAGCTCTGCCCATGAGCACCGCGCCACCACCCCCAGGGCCGCCGCCTCGGAATCCAAGACCTTGACACCAAGTCCCCCGAGCCCCACCGCTACCCCCACTGCAGAGACGGGCGGAAAGGATCCGCCTTTCACACCCCTGGCCGGTCCCAACGCCGAGACCCAATAGGTCGGCCACAACAAGCCTCCATCGAGCCGTCCTTTACACCGGGCGCGAGACGGGCCGGCCCTGCTGCCGGGCGCGAGACATGCATGTACTTCGAGCCGGTCCTAAATTCTTTGTGCGTGTACATGCGCCATTTATACTGAATCAGCTAGCTAGCTAGTATATATAACCTGCTGCTTATGAGTGTTCTCCAAAAGGATCAATCAATCTAATTCGTGCGCTACTCGCAGGAAATACATAGGCAGCCAAGGACTCGAGAAATAGCTTGCTGCGAACAGAGTGTTCTCCCTGGTGGTGAGCTTGATTCAGTCATGGCACTGCAGAGAAGAGATGGAGACTTGCACGCGACGCGCCAGCTGGAAGATAAACTAATCAAACTGAATCGGCTATAACCAGGAGATATAATATGGTCGTTTATCATATAAGAGAAAGAGGAAAAATATGATGGGATCGCTCTGAATATTCTTATCTAGACGTAGACGGCAACGTCAAGTGCGATCTCCCAGAAGATTTCTTTCCGTTCTGTTTTAAAAAAAGAGGTCGGGACCTCTTTTCCGAATACTACAAAAAGACCATGGTTTCTAGCATACTGTGGTTTATAAAACTTTGTTTTTTTCTGAAGCCAAACGCAGCAAAGTATTCAAAACCATGGTATTTTTCAGAAACCACGGTATTCTCAGAAAACTTTAAAAAAACTTTGCTGCCAAACGCAGCCTAAAGGGTTTCCCCGCTTTATATTATGCAAGACTTACACTTTTACTTTTACTGAGCGAAGGGAGTAATGATGTGAGACTCATGGTAATATATTGCAACGATATCACGAAGTACTCCAACATTACAACAGCGATGCATGCATGCATCCTGACAGCAGGTCATAACAAGAACACTAATTTGTGGCAACAATAGTACACTCTATATTGCCACACAGCACTTCTCTCGGTAATATTTCCATGCATGTACTACAGCAATATTTTGTTTCTGCTGCAGTAACCTGCATGTCATATTGCAAGCTAGAGAATTATTAAGTACTAGTACTAAAAGTAAGTGAAGGGAAAACCGTACGTGGCAATGGAACTGCCACGGATTATTCGTCGTTGCAATACTACCATTAGCAAGATCATCATTCTGCGAGAAGAGTGGAGTTGGTGGCGATGGCCTCGGCGAAGACACCATCGCAGCCGCCGCTCTGGCAGCCTGCACCGCAGTAGCCGGGACCGATGCCACAGGATCCCCACTTGCTACAGCAGTAGTTGTTAGTGCAAACCCTGCCGCCGGCGTCCTTGCCACACGGCTTGTCGGTGCTGCAAGCGCCGTTCTGGCAGCCCTCGCCGCAGAACTCGGAACCGAGGCCGCAGTACCCCCACTGGCTGCAGCAGAGGTTGTTGGGGCACAGCTTGCCGCCGGCCTGGCTGCCGCACTTGATGTCGGCGCGGCAGGGGCCGCCCTGGCAGCCGGCGCCGCAGTACTCCGCGCCGAAGCCGCAGTGCCCGTACTGGCTGCAGCAGTGGTTGTTGGGGCACGTCTTGCCGCCGGCCTGGCTGCCACAGCGCTTGCTGGTCCAGCAGGCGCCGTTCTGGCAGCCCTTGCCGCAGTAATCGCCGCCCATCCCGCAGTAGCCGTACTGGCTGCAGCACAGGTTGTTGGGGCACTCCATGCCGCTGCCCTGCTCGCCGCACCTTTGGGCCTGAGCGGTCGCCGCGGCGAAGGCGAGGACGGCAGCCGCGCCGAGCGCGAGGGCCCTGGTGCTCATCATCTTCATCCTTTTTGTTTTCTTGGTGCTGGTTGTGCACTTGTGTGTGTGTGTGGAGTAAACAGGTGATGATCCCCCTTTATATAGGGGTTCTGATCACAGTCGAATTCGACGTGGCAGCTCGCCATGCATGGGGCGCAGACACGTGTTCGCCCATATTCAACGAAATTAACCTGATCGAGGAGAGTACGTGTTAATGCATGTGATATGATGCCAGATCCGTTTTTGATGGATGCGGCAGTACGACTACGTACTTGTGTATGAAGTCTAATTAGTGCTTGCATTGCATGAGACATGCATGGAGCGCGGGCTATTAGAGTACTGTAGTTAGGACTAGTACAAATATATGTATATGCATGTGATTACGTGTATCGAAACTTCGTAGTCCCAACGGACACGTCGCGTGCATATATAGCATCTGACCTTATCGTTGTGAACTCTGAGAAACGTTGTGCTCTGCGTCCATGCATTATGTGATCCAGATCTTATCTTCTCTTTTCTTTTCATGAGAGCGCGAACTATGATGCGAGATGTAGTTTTGAGAGTCGTGTGCGCGTGACATGCATGTGGCATGGGGAGCAATGCATTCACGCGATCATTCAATGGCAATGGCAGTGGCATCTCGCATCGGATATCCTTCTCTCCTTTTTTTTGCGGTATGAGAAATTAGCTATAGGTTCTTATTATATTTACATTTTACCACATCCATCAACAAAAAGATGACCAAACGTAAAAGAAATCAGTTTTGTTAGGAGTATTGCAATGGCCAAGAGCAACTCTAGCAGGGTCGTCATCTGTCATATAGAGGCCGTGGCGGGTGTGGGCAAACACAGAGTCATCATAATGCGGTGTCTATATCTTTTCATTTATTTGATCTTTTTTTGTTGTTGTCTTCATAAAAGGCAGGGACAATTTAAGCTTAAATTAGGCATACCAAATGCATGTTTCAACAAGGTAGATTAATAAAAACTATATTAGTGGACAAAATCTGCTGCTTTAATTAGCAACTACAAATGTTGTTTAACAACATTTTTTAACCTAAGCAATGTCGTTAGTCGAGCGACATTGCTACATATGCGTTCTACACTACTAGGTGGTCAGTGCCTTCTAGTCGGTGCCCCGTCACCGCCATCGTCGTCTTCCTCCTCCTCCGTGGAGGAGATATCCTCATCCACGCGTAGGGGTAACCGCAAACTGCCCTTTTTTCTCCTAGACGGTGTGTGTGGGTCATACTCACGAATGATCTGCGCCTTGTTGCGAGCTTGGAGGGTGATGAGCTCAAGCACGTCGTTGATCGGGACCTCAGGCTCCACCTTTGGCTTCGGTTGGGCCGCGACGGGGGGAGGGGGGCGTCGCTCACCCAAACGAGGGGGCGGGCCGACGAGGACGGCCTCCTCCTCCTCCTCATTCACCCGGATGAGGGGCAGTCTCCCCCCGCGCCCGTCGCCAATGCCACGAGATGCATTGGGTTCATCATCGCCGCGGGAGGAGGAACCGACGACCGCCACCGTTAGTTCTCTGCGAGGAGTGTTCGCCCCGCAGTTGCAAGGCGTCTATGAAGGGGCATTCCGCTCCACTGGTACATTCAGCCAGCAGGTTGCAGTTCGACGTGGCGACATTGTTGCTACGAGAGGAGGAGATGATCAGAGGGGGGAGATAATGAGGAGGAGATGGGAGATGAGGGGTGACAGCCGGGGCTTGGGGGATGGGGACGCCTCGCTGCCGGGCATTTATAGCCAGGGATGAAGCAGTGTAGCCATCCGAATGACCGCCTTGGGAATCGAGTGAAGCAGTGTTGGGGAACATAGTAGAAAATACAAAAAAATGTCCAACGATCACGATCCATGAATACTATGAAGATGCATAAGAGGTTTAGATCGGATCGTTACTAACTTCGAGTTGCGGTGGAAAAACAGTTTGTGTAGACCATTGACGAAGTCTCTCCAACCGAAGACTAAAAGCACGACCTCTCTATGGATTGCAGTTATACAGGCTTCACGATCCGGCAGCGCTTCGCCATCCAGAGCTAATCGTCGCCGAAGAATTAGAGGGAGAAGAAGAGAGCCACACAGAGCTTCTCTATTATGAGGATTAGAGAGATCTAGGTCTAGCTCTAATTAGAACAACTCTGAATTAGAAGTAGAAACAGAGAGCTGGAGGAAGCTCCAAAAACTAGTGTGTCTCAAGGGGCAAAATCCTCGTATATATAGGTGTAGGGGCGAGGAGAGGGGGCACCACACAAGGGAGGGAGACTATCCTCCTTGGTGCACCAACCTAGGGGACACAATTCGGCCCCCTCTAGCTTGTCATACAAGCTATGGGCGCCCCCTAGTGTTATTGGGCCCTAAGGCCCAATACTCTCCACCACTTAGCCTTATTGTATTTTCTTTGGCCCATCAATATTAAATTAATTCTAAAAGCCTCCTAATCAGTATTAGAACCTTTTATTATCAATTTAACATCTCTGGAAACATCTCCCACCTATATATCAATTTCCTGGTATTACACGGTAAACCCTGAAACTCTTCCGATAACCCCGAAATGCTTTTAGTTTCTCTCGAAACTATTTATAATATTCCCGAAACTATTTCATAAATATTCTCTCATAACTCTTACTCCACTAACATTCAACTGAAGGAAATATGCCCTAGAGGCAATAATAAAGTTGTTATTTCATATTTCCTTATTCATGATATAGGTTTATTGTTCATGCTATAATTGTATTGATCTGAAACCTAAATACATGTGTGAATACATAAAACAATACAGTGTCCCTATTAAGCTTGTACTAGAGTAGCTCGTTGATCAAAGATGGTTAAGGTTTCCTAACCATAGACATGTGTTGTCATTTGATAATGGGATCACATCATTAGGAGAATGATGTGATGGGCAAGACCCACTCGTTAGCTTAGCATAATAATTGTTCAGTTTATTGCTATTGCTTTCTTCATGTCAAATACATATTCCTCCGACTATGAGATTATGCAACTCCCGGATAACGGAGGAATGCCTTGTGTGCTATATCAACGTCACAACGTAATTGGGTAATCATAAAGATGCTCTATAGATATCTCCGAAGGTGTTTGTTGAGTTGTCATAGATCGAGATTAGGATTTGTCACTCCGAGTATCAGAGAGGTATCTTTGGGCCCTCTCGGTAATACACATCATAAGCTTGCAATAAAATGACTAAGGAGTTAGTCACGAGGTGATGTATTATGGAACTAGTAAAGAGACTTGCCGGTAACAAGATTGAACTAGGTATGAAGATACCGATGATCGAATCTAGGGCAAGTAACATACCGATAAACAAAGGGAATTGCGTATGTGTTGTCATAACGGTTCGACGGATAAAGATCTTCGTAGAATATGTAGGAGCCAATATGGGCATCCAGGTTCCGCTCTTGGTTATTGACCGGAGAGGTGTCTCGGTCATATATAGGACGATTGTATTTGGACACCAGAAGTGTTTCGGGACGTACCGGGAAGGAATCGGGTCACCGGAAGGGGTTCCGGGCACCCCCCCGGCAAGATATGGGCCTTACGGGCCAAAGGAGGGGACATACCAGCCCATAAGGGGGCTGGTGCACCCCTCCCTTGTTTTTCCAGCCCTAGGGAAGGAAATAGGGGAGGGCTAGCCCCTCCCGCCTTTCCCTCTCATGGGATAAAGGAAATGGGGAGGCGCCACCCTCCCCTGCCTTTCCTCGCACTCCAAATAAGGAAAGGGGAGCGGCTTGGGAGGGACCCCAAGTAGGATTCCTCCTACTTGGGAACCTCCTTTGGCTTCTCCTCCCTCCCTCCCACCTATATATATGTGGGTACGGGGCGACACACAAGGACACACCATTGTCTTAGCCGTGTGCGGCACCCTCGTCCACCGTTTACACCCTCGATCATATTTTCGTAGTGCTTAGGCGAAGCCCTGCGAAGCTCATATGACCATCACCATCACCACATCGTCGTGCTGTCGGAACTCATCTACTACATCGCTGTCTTGCTGGATCAAGAAGGCATAGGATGTCCCCGAGTTGAACATGTGCAGAACGCGGAGGTGCCGTACGCTCGGTACTAGATCGGTTGGAGCGTGAAGAAAGTTCGACTACATCAACCGCGGTGTGAAATGCTTCTGCTTACGGTCTATGAGGGTACGTAGACATACTCTCCCCCTTGTTTCTATGCATCTCCATGGATAGATCATTGTGTGTGCATAGTAATTTTTTGTTTTCCATGCAACGTTCCCGAACAGTGGCATCATGAGCCACGTCTATGCGTAGATGATATGCACGGGTAGACCACCAAGAGTTGTGGGTGATGGTAGTCATACTGCTTACCACCAATGTCTTATTTTGATTCGGCGGTATTGTGGGATGAAGAGGCCCGGACCAACCTTACATATCCACGCACATGAGACTAGTTCCACCGACTAACATGCAACTAGTTTTGCATAAAGGTGGATGGCGGGTGTCTGTTTCTCCTACTTTAGTTGAATCGAATTTGACTGCGGCCGATCCTTGAAGAAGGTTAAAAAAGCAAACTTGATGAATCACTGTTGTGGTTTTAAGCATAGGTAAGAACCATTCTTTTGCTAGAGGCCCGTTATCGATGTCAAAACCGGCGGATCTCGGGTAGGGGGTCCCGAACTGTGCGTCTAAGGCTAATGGTAACATGAGGCTGGGGACAAGATGTTTACCCAGGTTCGGGCCCTCTCGATGGAGGTAATACCCTACTTCCTGCTTGATTGATCTTGATGATATGAGTATTACAAGAGTTGATCTACCACAAGATCATAGAGGCTAAACCCTAGAAGCTAGCCTATGGTATGATTGTTGTTGTGTCCTACGAACTAAACCCTCCGGTTTATATAGACACCGGAGGGGGCTAGGGTTACACAGAGTCGGTTTACAGAGAAGGAGATCTATCATCCGAATCGCCAAGCTTGCCTTCCACGCAAAGGAGAGTCCCATCAGGACACGGGACGATGTCTTCAATCTTGTATCTTCATAGTCCAAC